CTAAACTACATTTTACGACTGACAGCGTCGTAAAACGTAATGCAGAAACGCTTTTGGACTGTTCCCCGGCGGACATAAATTCGCACTGCGGAAGATTTCGGGCGTATTATGCGTTTCAGACGGAATCGTTTACGAAGAAGCGACCTCGTTGCACTTTACGCGACTATTGTGAACGTGTTCCCCGCGCCGATTCTGTGTTCTTTATCGGCTCGGGGGGAAACATCGCGGATTCTCCTGTAATCTAATCACAAAGTAGCGTGGGAATGAAATGAAACAAGCGAACGGAAGTTTATACGTTTACTATTAGGAGTCTGATTAGCTAACATGTTGACTACCACGAGAATCTTTAATGTTTCGTGTAAAATCACTTGTTCTTTCAGGACGAGGACGAATGACGTGAGAATGAATTAATGAAAGATTGATAGAGAAATATTAATATCCTTAATTTGGTATCGTATTTCTTAAATAATACTGTCGTTTAGTTGCTTATGCTACCGAATATTTTCATTCGGCATCATTCTTATTGTAATTGTTTTCAAGCAATTGGAAGCGCCGGTCATCAGTGACTACCGTGGCAGTCAACGTGTTAACGAGGTAATTACCTAACGTCGCAGATTATCGATTTTCATGAATTTTTTTAGTGATAACAGTTCGACTAACGCTTTCAGTTTTTCGTAGTTTATTTAGTTACTTTTTGGTGATAAGTAATAACTTTTTATAGAGAATAAACGCTTGTTTTGAAAACCGATATAAATGATTGGAGCACTCAGAGTGTATGAGATATAAGAAAGATAGTGCAACGATCATTATAAATGTAGACGTGTAGGTTAATATTGATGTAAACTTCATGGATGTGTGTGCATATGTATGGGTGTAGCGAGAAAAAAAAGAGATATTGAAAAAAAGCGAAGTTTGTGTTGACAACGGAAAAATATATAGAAATTGACATCGTTTTAAATAAACGTCTATATAAAGAATCTTGATTCTTTAGTTTCTGCTGAATTAAGAAAACACTTTCGACGCAGGTGTTTCGGTGAGTGTCCTGCCGGTGTATTCGCCGGTCAAAGTGTTAAAGATGCAAAGGTCGATGCTACAAATCTGGATTCCTATTCAGTGGGTTGTTAATTACGTGTATAAGTGAGATTCGAAGGATCGTCGTACTGTTGCTCGACTTTCTGACGTACCACTCTGTTCAGGATTAATAACATCTGTATTTAATATTCGTACGGAACGTCAAATATAATTATGCAACAGCCCCGCTGTAACTCGCTTATGTTTAATATGTAAAATTAGTTGCTGCAGAATTAAATTCATCATAAAGTTTTCATTACGCCGCGCCGAAGGCGTAACGATAGTCGGTCGAATGTAATAAACATGTCCGCTCTAATATTCCTCCGTATTATTTGTTAAATGTAAATTATAATAATAACTACAGGTCTTTCTCTAAACTCTTAAAGAAATTGATTCAGCAATACGCAAACTGAATTTTAAATCAATTAAAGTCTCAATATACGCACTTTTGGAGTTTCTATAGAAGAATTTCAAAAAATTAACTTGACTGCTCGGTTTTAGTGTTAAAGCTTGATACTAATTCTTTCAACGATAAATTCTTTATTTTTCCGAAGAATATATAATTCTTCTTTGTTTCGCCTTGGTTTCTCATTAAAATATACTCCAGGTGTATTGGTCTTGCGTTCGACAAGTACACACTTGATTTTCCGATTTCATTGCGCGCGAAACGAGAGATTTTTTAAACTAAATTCTACTCAGCAGTTTTAGCGTTAATGATTACCTTAAAATTATTCTTTATTTCTGATATACTCCTTTCTCTATGTACGAGAAAGGTCTCTTCCTCCCTGCGTGTTATGTTTAATAGAAAATTTGTAGCTTCTTTCGCGGTGTGCTCGAAAGTTAAATGAAAGAAAGTTTCGCCGTATACTTTAGGAAATTAGTCACCTTGCTTATCGAGGGGATACACAATACCCATTTCTCCCCCTCCTCGGACACCTCCCGCCCACTCCTTCCACTCTCACGGGGTGGGTGTTGCAGTCTGAACTCCACCCTGATCCGCAAATATTGGCAACCCCGTAACAGCTACTCGTAAAAATCACTTGATTACAACCCCTCCCTTATCACCTTAAGGGTTCCCATAAGATGAGGCTGAAAATAAAAAAAAAACTGTTCTTACGGCTTTTTTATGTTCATTGAGTAAAACGCGAAATTTGGCCCGACCGAAGTTTGCACAACTATTAGTTCCCTCTTTCCTCGTATTTTCCTTTTCCCTTCAATTTTAAAGCTGTACGCCGCCGCAGCGTTTCGTAGCTTCCGCGAATAATGTTACACTTTCGTTCATAAATTATTGGACACTCGGATAAGTAAAGGGAAACAAGAACGAATTAATTTCATGCAATTCGGAAATGGATTTTGATTAATTATCTTTTCTATTTGTGTATCTTTTAATTTATCTTTTGAATCGATTAATCTTTTAATAAAATTTTATGTATCACGCCTTAGGAAAATTGTGAACATTTCTGTTGCAAAAGAGGTTAAGTTTTTACTTTCATTGATGTGTTGTCCTTAGAAACACATATTTATAATAATTATGGCAATTTGGTTGTTTTAAAGATACTGCATTGCGATACAGTAATATTTAATTAATATTCAGATTTCAATCTAATAGTCATTAAGTGCAGAATTACTAAAAATTAATAATTACTCAACCGTGGATCAGTATGCTACATATTTTAACATTTTGTCAAATTTATTGTATTACTAAAATTTAATTAATACTGGATCGAGGACCTTTATGCATTCGTAGTATATAAAAATACGCAATATTCAAGATAATAAGTAATTTAATCAAATTCAACCTAATAGAACATTTAATGGAAGGAAGTAATTTTTGTGTAATTCTTCTTGGTGAACGTAAATTTTCAGTAGTCCATGCTTGCACGACTTTCCGTAGTTTAATTATTATTTTCCATAAAAAATCATATCATGTTTCCTGATAAATTATTAATAATAAAATAGTTGTATCGATCATATTGTGCGTACGAAGAGATTTTCGAAACTAAATTCCACCGTTAATAAGTTAAGGGTTGACCCCATCTAGGTTAACCTCTTCTCTTATGATATCTTTCACATCTGTGCTCGATAAAACTACATTGATACTTATTCTGTATCCACGTCTACTCTGAAACTTAAAAATCGATAACGGACAAGTATTTTGTTTATATAAAAATGATCACATAAAATTTAGATTAGCTAGATTCGATCGAACATTTTCATGACGAGTTCAGAAAAATTCCGTCCAGTTTGAGATCGCGAAATGAGAGACAAGAAATAGGGTGGCGAACCGTTACGGGGCTACGGGGCGGGGAGGGGGTGTTGCTCTTAACAGTTCGGTAG